ATGAACAAGTTCTGGAGATGGATGACAGAGATGGTTACACAAAATTAGGAGTGAATGTGGTTAATGCCACTGACCTATACACTTAAAAATGGTTAAGATGGTGAATCTTATGTGTAGTCTCTCAGTCCTTGTTTCAAACTCTCCAGTGGTTTCTCAGCCTCCTTATTACAACCCACACGGTCCTGCCTGGTCTGGCACCTTCTGCTCTCCTTCATTTATCAACCTTTCCCTCCTTCATTCCTTATGGATCACACTGATGGCCTTGTGTGTGTTCCATTCATTCGTTCAGCCTCTTTGCTGAGTTCCCAATGTGTCCAGCACTGCACGGAGAAGAGCATTGGCAGTGAAATCAGACAAAGTCCTATCCTCATGGAGCTGCCATTCTATTGTAGTCAAACAAAATGTATTAAGTGTTGTGAAAGACAACAAAAGCAGCGGGCGGCCAGTTAGCTCAGTTGGTTAGAGCGCAGGCTCATAACACCAAGGTTGCTGGTTCCATCCCCACATGGGCCACTGAGCTACGCCCTCCACAACTAGATTGAAACAACTACTTGACTTGGAGCTGATGGGTCCTGGAAAAACACACTGTTCCCCAATTAAAAAAAAAAAAAAAGACAACAAAAGCAAAGTAAGGGCAAGAGTGCGTGGTCAGAGCAGGCATCATGGAGGAGGTAACAGTTTGCAGAGAAGGAGCTGGGGAAGGGATGTTCCAGGCAGGGAGAGCAGCAGGTGCATTGTCCCTTGGTCAGGAAAGAGCTTGGTGGGTGCTAGAACAGTGAGGGGGTTGGCATAGCTAGAGAGGAGTGCATGAGGGCAAGTGCATGAGGGCAAGTGGTGGGAGATGAGGGCAGGGAAGTGAGCATGCGCCCTCAGAGGTGAACAGCCTGGATTCTACTCCGAGGGGGAAGCCACTATTGTTAGAAGGTTTTAACGAGGGACAACACATTTGATTTCTGTTTAACAAGCTCTCTGGACACAGCTTGGAGATGGACTTGAGGAGGAAGTGCAGCATGGAGGCCTTGGGATGCTAACAAGCACCTGCATACCCTGACTCATGTTGTATACCTGAAACTAATATGTTATATATAAATTATGCCTCAATTTTTAAAAGAGCAACAAAAGAAGCACTTAGATTTGGGACCTATTTTGTAAGTAGAATTTGGCAGATGTGCTGGGGGATGGATGTGGGGTGTGAGAGGACACATCAAGCTCAACTCCCCAGTTTTTAGCCTGGTAGATGAAGGCTGAGATGTGGAAGACTGCATGCAGCAAGATCAGGGTTAGGTGGAGAGAAAGCTGAGGTGGTGAGTGTGAGATCCAAGCCGGGGATGTCAAGGAGGGTGTTCTGTTTCTCCAATTAAGTAGGCTAAGTTCCAGCCTCAGGGCCTTTGCACTGGCTATTCTCTCCCCCAATGGGGGACAGTGGGGGAATGGCCTCCCTTATAAATTCCCATATGGGGCCTTTCTTGGCCTTCTGTCTTTGGCTCAAATGTCACCTCCTTGGTGTCTTTCCTCAACCACCTGTCCCCTCCAACCAAGGCCACCAACCCCTCCAACCATCGCCACCACGAAGATTCTTACATTATCCTGTTGAAATCCTGAATAGCACTTAGCACTGTTAACTTTCTATCTCCCCAAACTGTGGGCTCCAGGAGGGCAGGGTATGCATCTTGTTCACCGCTAAATCTGCATCCAGCACAGAGCCCAACCTATGGTACAGTACAGACTCCATAAATGTAGAGTGATTAAAGGTGTCCCCTCTGGACCAGACCCTGTGCATGGTTAGGAGGAACCATAAGATACAGTCCCCACCCTTGAGGGTCTCACAATCTTGCTGGAGGGAATGATGTCAGCCCTGGATCCCAGAGGAGGTCACTTACCAAGAGAAAGATCAGGGAAGGCTTCCCAGAGGAGGTGACAGCTGTGGCTGCCTGGGGGAAGACCAGAGGGCTGTACAGCATGTGGAGGCTCTGGAGACTTGCGAGGCACGAACAGGGATCAATATCTTATTTGAGGAGAGATGCTCAGTGGCACAAACTCTTGACAGTTCCTGAAGACTCGAATTCTGTCTAAGAAGCCACTCTCTTCTCAGAGAACAGAAATGAATGGACAAGCGTCCCGCAACGCGGGGAGTCTCCAGCAGGGGGCAGTAAAAGTAGGACTCTTCCTTTATGTGAACCTTTATGTGAACGCGAAACAGGAAATAAGGACTCCACGCGGCTTCCGTATTACAGACCAGTACGCGTCCTGGACTACGGGCGTCGAAGAGTCATGTGATTTAGCCATTTCCGGACGTCTCCCCAGTTTTTCCTGAGCTCTGTTTCCTGCGCCTTTGTAGGGAAGCGTGTACCAGTGCTCAGCGCGTTTCGAGGCCATTGGAGGCCTGGCCTGGGGCTGCTCTGATCTGAGAGCAGCCGCAGGAGCATGGAGGGCTCCTCGGAGAAGGCGCCCGCGGCGGCGCTGGCCGCTGTGCTGAAGCACAGCTCGGCGCTGCCGTCCGAGAGCGCCCAGGTCCGGGGCTACGACTTCAACCGTGGCGTGGACTACCGCGCGCTGCTGGAGGCCTTCGGCACCACTGGTTTCCAGGCCACCAACTTCGGGCGCGCGGTACAGCAAGTCAACGCCATGGTGAGGCTGGGGGTGGGACTTCCTCGGTCGAGGGGGCTTGGCTTCTCATAGCACCAATGCAGTACAGTAGTTGCAAGGGGCGGGGCTTTCTTGGGGAAGGAGGCGTGTCCTTCTTTGGGATGGCCCAATAGTTGGAGAGAGGCGGGGCCTAGCCCGAGCGGGAATTTCTGTGCTGGGAAGGGGACGTTGCCACCCAGCAGCGACATCCTAGCATCCTGAGGTGATGGGGACTGATTCTAGATAGGGGCAGGCTACGTGTGAGTGCTCTGGAATGGGCGGAGCCTGGGGCAAGACGGGGCGTTTGATGGAGGAATTGGAAAAGGAACCTAAGTCAGGGCGGGGCCTTGGATTTGCTCTTCCCAGAGGGGGACTGGGTCCTGCTAAGATGCTTTTCGATTCCCAAAGTGGGGGGCGGCGGCAAAACGTGATCGTGTGCTCTGAGAGCCGGGCTGTGAAAGGTGTGAAAGGTGCAGTGGGGTCTTCTGTCTCCTGGTTCCAGGGAGAAGTGGTCCCGTTTCCCTGAGAGAACAGGGCCTGATTCTGAAAACCACTGGGGTCCTTGGGCTGGAGTTTGGGTCCAGAGGTTAACTCGACCCCGCCCTTACATGTAGATAGAGAAGAAGTTGGAGCCCCTGTCTCAGGATGAAGACCAGCACGCAGACCTGACCCAGAGCCGCCGCCCACTCACCGGCTGTACCATTTTCCTAGGCTACACATCCAACCTCATCAGTTCAGGCATCCGTGAGAGCATCCGTTACCTCGTTCAGCACAACATGGTGGGGAGCTGGTGGGGCTGTGGCCTTGGCCTCTCTGGGTCTAAATGGACAAGATTATTGGTCATTTTAGTGAGATAGGGAGATATGGGTCAGTTTTAAGCAATGGGACAGGTTCGAGTTTTGTTTTGCAGTAGAGCTTCCTGCAATGTTACTAGATGAAGGTTGGGAGTTAGGAGTCCTGCCTGGAATGAGGGCAGGGCCCCCCTTTCTGGGCCAACTTAAGTGCCTTGTGGCTGCAGGTGGATGTTTTGGTGACTACGGCTGGGGGCGTGGAGGAAGATCTCATCAAGTGCCTGGCGCCCACATACCTGGGCGAGTTTAGCCTCAGGGGGAAGGAGCTACGTGAAAACGGGATAAACAGGTGGGGGACCCTGAGTGGTGCTGGGCAGGGGAGCTGGGCTGAGGGTCCTGAGGCCTGAATGCCCATCTGCCTTCCTGTCCCCAGGATCGGGAACCTGCTGGTGCCCAATGACAATTATTGCAAGTTCGAGGACTGGCTGATGCCCATTCTGGATCAGATGGTGCTGGAGCAGAACACAGAGGTTTGGCTGGAACAACCTGGGAGGCCAGCGTGGTGAGAGCCAGGGGAGGTACCGCTGGCTGAAGCTGATGTCTCCTCCTAGGGTGTGAAGTGGACACCGTCCAAGATGATCGCCCGGCTAGGCAAGGAGATCAACAACCCAGATTCGGTGTATTACTGGGCCCAGAAGGTGAGGGGCTGGGTGGGGGCAAAGATGTTAGGTCTTGGCCGCTGTTAACTTATTTCATCTTCACAGCCACCTGGGGAGTCAATGCTGTTCTCATCATCTGCATTCTTTTTTTTTTTTAAAGATTTTTTTTTTATTGGGGAATTGGGGGGGATGGGAACAGTGCTGGGGAATTGGGGGAAGGGGAACAGACAAGTTGCTGTCCTTTTGTTCTTCAGTCTAGTTGTGGAGGACGTTGCTTCACTGGCCCAAGTTGGCACCATCATTGCGCTCTTCCCGGGCGAGGCAGATCAGTCGCCGGCTTCTGGATGGCTGCTCACTGCGGCTGCTGGCCGCTCACGCTGGCTGCTGGCTACATACGGTAGCCCATGGCAACCCACTGCCACAGGGGCTGCAGCCTACGCCGTTGCCGGGGACTCATGGCAGCCCAGCTCCAGGTTGAGCTGTTGTTCAGCATCTCAGCTGTGGAGGGCAGTGTCACTGGCCCTCACATGTGGGATCTGAACCGGGGACTTCTGGCGTCCCAAGCCAGTTCTTAACCATCGCGCCACTTGGCCGGCCCATCATCTGCATTCTTAGACCAGGAAGTTCGGACCTAGAGAGGTTAAGCAGTTAGTTTGAGGTCACACAGCTATTGAGTTTAGTCCTGATATCCTGGGAGTAGTTGGGGCAGTGCTTAGCAACCCTCCTGGTGTAGGGTCCCCTGCTCCTCAGAGGCTATGAGGTTCAGCAATCAGAAAAATAACAAGGGCTATAATGCTATTCTTTGTGTAAGGCATGGTCCTAAGTATTTTATGTGGGTTTTCTCACACATGCCTCATCTATGATGGAGGTACTGTTACCGTCATTTTAGATTCAAGGAAACAGAGGCCCAGAGAAGTTAAGCACCCTGCCTAGTCAGGCAGAGAGAGGGAATGCCCCCACTGGATTCTGATTCCCACCACTGTCCTGTCCTGCCCTTCCCCAGAACCACATCCCTGTGTTGAGCCCTGCGCTCACAGATGGCTCGCTGGGTGACATGATCTTCTTCCATTCCTACAAGAACCCGGGCCTGGTCTTGGACATTGTGGAGGGTGAGGTGCTGGTGTCACAGAGGAGCAGGGGAGGAGGGCTGGCCAGGCCCAGGATCTGACCACAGTGCTCTTCCCCAGACCTGAAGCTCATCAACACCCAGGCCATCTTTGCCAAGCGCTCTGGCATGATCATCCTGGGCGGGGGTGTGGTCAAGCACCACATCGCCAATGCCAACCTCATGGTAAGCAGGCATGAACACCTGGACCATAGTGTGGGGGTGGCACTTGGGCCTGTGCGCTAGGCTTATGCCACGTGTTGGGGACATGGCTATGGGCTAGTTGCAAGGGGCGGGGCTTTCTTGGGGGGGAAGGAGGCGTGTCCTTCTTTGGGATGGCCCAATAGTTGGAGAGAGGCGGGGCCTAGCCCGGGCGGGAGTTTCTGTGCTGGGAAGGGGACGTTGCCACCCCTTGGGCTAGACAGGCCAGGATCCCTGCCCTCCTAGGACTGATGTTTTGGTTGAGGAGACAGACATCAAATTAGGTGGTGGTTATTGCCATAGAGAAAAATGAGGGATGACAAGATGGCAAGAAAAAGGGGTACTGTTCAAAAAATGAAAGCTTTCTGGGAAATGTGACCTGTGAACAGATTTTTGGTAGGTGTCTCCCATGAGTCATATGGTTGCTTTAGGGAAGAGTTCCCAGCAGAGGGAACAGCCAGTGCAAAGGCTTTGAGATGCCTGAAGTAAATCAAGAAACAGCTAGAAAGCCTGTGAAGGGGAGAGTGGGAGGTGACAGGCAGGACTTGCAGGTCCTTGAGCGCTTCTACTCAGGTGCTCACAGGCACTCTCTGGCTGCTGTGCGGGGAACAAGTGGGGCCAGGACCAGGGTGGAGACCAAGCAGGTGGAGAGGTGGTTGGGTTCAGAGGTCTTCTGAAGATAGAGCTGGGAGCAGCTCCCCGAGCAGATGCGGGAGGGTTGCTGCTACCTAGGAGGTGGATCTGGAGCAACACTGCCCATCTGCTCAGCAACCTTCTAACCTCTTACTCTGCCCTGGCATTGATGTTGGGGCTCCTCCCTTGCAGTGAGGGGCCACCAAAGGGCCCTTTTTCATCCAGGACAAATGGCTCAGCTTCTCTAGCTGCAGTGCCCTATTTCTGTGTGTGTGTGTCCATCCATCTGTGACTGGCTGACCGCCTGACCTGCCCCTCCTCACAGCGGAACGGGGCCGACTATGCTGTTTACATCAACACAGCCCAGGAGTTTGACGGCTCGGACTCTGGTGCCCGGCCAGACGAAGCTGTCTCTTGGGGCAAAATTCGGGTGGATGCACAGCCTGTCAAGGTGAGGGCCAGCCAGCCAGCTTAGACACAGGGTCTCCTAGGCTGTGACTCAGGTGCTCACAGGCGCCCTCTGGCTGCTGTTGGGGGAACAAATGGGGCCAGGACCAGGGTGGAGACCAAGGGGGTAGTGAGGTGGTTGGGTTCAGAGGTCTCCTGAAGATAGAGTTGGGAGCAGCACCTTCTGAGCACCTGTGTCCTGTCCTCAGGTCTATGCTGATGCCTCCCTGGTCTTCCCCCTGCTTGTGGCTGAAACCTTTGCCCAGAAGGTAGCTGCCTTCATGCCTGAGAAGAATGAGGACTGAACAACTGCGGCCCCAGGGAGGTCTCCCCCGTCTATTTATTAGTTTGCAGACCCAAGCCCTCTCCAGCTCCTTGGTCAGTAGCACATCTACAGTAAACGGTCTCAGCGGTCCTGAGTCTGCATCTGTGTCCTTGGTGGTGGTGGGTCCCCTGGCTTCAGTCTGTATCACTCTCAGCCTTATAGGCCTCTTCCCGCCAGCATTGGATGCTGCCCCCCATGGCAGTCAGCAGGCAGGGCTCCGTGGGGTGGTAGGCCAGTGACTGCACCACACCGGGACCCACAGGCAGGGCGAGTGCCAGGACACCCTGTGGAGCAAGGCAGTGGGGAGTTATCAGTGAGCCCCCATCCCCTGACCTTCAGCCACTTGCCTCTAATGGCTTTCCAGACACTGCAAACCCAGTCTGTCCAAAACTGAGCTCCTCAGTGGCTCCATCCTTTCAGGTGATCTTGGGAGTGTTTCTCACACCCCTTTAGCAGTAAATCCTCTGGGTTCTGCCTTTAGACCGTGTCCAGAGGCCACCCATTTGTCTCCACCTCCATTGCCACCATCTTGTTCTGAGCGCTTTGTCCGGCTTCGCTTCCCTCCCCCACTGCTGCCATTGAGGCTCCCACTTGGCAGCCTCAGTGCTTGCACCTTGAACTTCCTTCATCACAGTGCAGACACAGCTCCACATACACGGTTTCTCAAGCAGGCCATGGTTCCTCTTTCCACCCTGAGATGTCCTCTCATGTGCCCTCCCCTGCAGGGTGACTGATGGTCTACTAGACCCTCGAGAAGTAGGTCGAATATTGGCACATTCTTAGTTCCTTGAGTGAGAACTAAGTTTCCCTGGCCCCTTGAGTCCCCAGGGTGCCCTAGTTCACTCCAACCTCTTGGGGGACTTATTTTCCCTGGCCAAGCCCCAGCACCCATGTCTCCCTCCCTAAGGCTCCCCAGCCCTGACCCTACTAGCCCAGCCAGTCTGTTCCCTGCCCCGTGCCCCACCAGGCTGGGACACATCAGGTCAGGGCGCACAGGGCTTGGGGTTGTAAACCACAGGGATGCTTAGAGGTAGATTAGGTTTTCTGAACAACTACAGCCTCGCCTCCCCCTGGGGTCAGATGCTACTATCTGTTCCTTCTCCCCCAGGGTCTCAGTATCAGCCTGGCATTGGTGGCCCTGCCTGATCTGAATCCTGCTGCTGCCACTGCCATCCTGAACTGCTTCTGTTTCCTGAGGTGCACCTCCAAGTCTTAGCACATACTGTGTCCTTTGCCAGCAGTACCCTTCCTGTCTTCTCACTCACTCCTTGGAGCCCCTGGTTCACTCCCTTTTTCAGGTCTGGGCGTGAATGAGGTAAGGACAAAGTGAGGACAGGGCAGGTACCCTGGTATGGTGTGGGGGTGGGGAGGCTTACCTCCACCAGGTCCCAGAAGAACACTTTCCCATCCTCAGAGCAGCTGACCACATGCGTGTCTCGCTCGCTCAGGCAGCAGTCCAGCTTGTACTTCTGGTTCTTATGGCCCGTGTACCTGGGGGGCAGGGGGGGTGGGGGGGTGGTGATCAGTGGGACTTGGGCTTACCAGGGGCAGAGGTGGGGGGGAGGGGCCCCATGACCCCAAGGACTCACTCCCCCAGCAGCTCTCCCGTGTCCTTATCTAGAAGCCGCAATGTGGAGTCCAGGCTGGACACCAGGGTGCATTGCCCATCCCGGCTGAAACAGGTGCAGGTGATGGGGCCTGAGGGAAGGGAGAGGTGGGACAGGCCAGTGAGGCTGGGGAGCTCTGCTGTCCCCACCGCCCCTGCCTCCCACACAGCCCGACGACTCACTGCCCACGTAGTCTGAGAACAGTTGCCCCATCCTCAGGTCATAGCGCCTAACCCGGCTGTCCACAGAGCTGCAAGAGAGGGTGGATCTAGCTTAAGCCTCGACAGGCCAGTGGCTCCATGGCTCCAGGTGACGTTGGTGTTCCTATATCCTCCCATCTGGCCAGGGCCCTGGGCAAGCCTGGCTCTGTCCTTCCTATGTACCACTCACTGTCATATTCCCTCTCAGCGCCAGCAATGGAAAACATGCATTGAAGTGAATTCATGAGTGGAATTCTGAGGCACTGGCTTTGACACTCAGACCTAGGAGCCAATCAGGATCTACTCCATCTGTTTCTGATATGTACTGAGCATCTCTGTGGGGGAGGGCAGGCTTGGAACAGCTGTGACCAAGCCAGTAGCAATTTCTGCCATCATGTAGCCTCACCGACTCAGGGTAACCTAGGAAGGCTTCCCTGAGGTGACATCTGAACTGGGACTCAAAAGATGAGAAGGAGCCAACCTTGTGGATGGACTCCAAGGGGAGATGTGTGGGAACATAGCCAGTCAACAGTCTGGGCAGCCCAAACTCTCGCTACAGTGGGAATGGCACTCCCTTGGGTTGTGACAACACTTGGGCAGCTCTGCATAGGATTTTTTCTTTTTTTAATTGTTTGTCTCCTGCAGCTAGATTATCAACCTAATGTGGGCAGGGATTTTTCCTCATTTATTTCCCAGTCTTGTTCACTGCTATATGCTCTTTGACTAAAAAAGTGGTCTGCAGAAAGTGCTCAGATACACTTGGAAGAAGTAGTAGGAGGGCAGTCCAGGCAGAGGAAGAGCAATCACAAAGGTCCTGGGGTGGGAGCATGCTTGGCATACTTACCTGAAATAAGCCTAGGAATGAATAAAAGCTGACAGATCAGCAGGGATCAGACTGTGCAGGGCCTTAGGAGCCACAGTGAGGACAGTAGACTTTAAGCACAAAGGCAACTATGATCCCCAGTGGCACCTGGGGGGGGGGGCAGGTCCTGGTTCCACTCACCCTGCCAGGACCTCATGGTCTGACACCTTCACACTGGATACGCCATCCTTGGCGTCGTCTAGCTTTTGCACTGGCTCAGGTCTCCGAGATCGGCAGTCCCAGCAGCGGATACTGGAATCGATAGAGCCTGTGAGGTCAGCATGAAGGTGAGGTCAGGTTTGGGGGAAGGGGTAGCACCCTGGGTTCACCTTCCTAGGCCCCAGACTCACCAGACAGGATGACAGTGGCCTCTTCATTAAACTGCACCGTGTTCACCTTCTGAGAAACAGCAACTACCACTCAGAGGAGGCTGGACTTTGAAGGATTGGGATAAAGGCAGGGTTCCCAGTGTAGGTTAAAGCAAGGACAAAGACTAGGGGTAGGAAAGGTAAAAGGTTTTGGGAGAACTGCAAGGACGGGGCTTGGTGAATGCCTGGCAATGCGCTGTAATATGGGTGTGTGTGGTCCCCTCCACCATCCGCACTCTAATGAGGCCTCTTCTTGCTTGCACTTACCCCTGCATGGCCCCGGAATTTACGTACGACCTGGCCCGATGCCACATCCCACAGCACCACTGCCTTATCCCCGCCGCCAGAGCAGAGGCTGCTGTTGTCAAAGGAGCTAGAGGGCAGAGGAGGGAAGGTCAGAGTCGACCTCCGATTCCCGCCTCAGTGCCCCGATCCCGGCCTGGCCCCCGGCTCACCTGGCCGCGTCTAGCACCTCGTAGCCGTGGCCACTGTACGTCCGCAACAACGTCCCTCGCAGCGGGTTCCACAGCTTCAGAGTCTTGTCGCTGCCGCAAGTCAGACAATAATTGCCATCCACTGGGGAAGACCAGGCGGGGATTACCGGGCAGTCAACTTCAGGAGACGGGAGGAAAACCCAGAATGAAGATGATGGGGCTCACCATTAAATCGCACGGCTCGCACCGCTCCCTGCCCGCAGTCCAGCGTCTTCAATCTCTTTTGCGGCAGCTCCGGGCCCCGAGGCTTTGGCTCAGGGAAAGCCATTGCTCTGGGATCCCTTCCTCGCCGCCTTATATCAGACTGTACCGACGTTTTCTAGACTTACACGTTTGGGTGTAACATTATTGCCCTCCGTGGCCTACTTCCTGTTTCCCACTTCTGGGCTCAAAATTGCGGCATTTTGGGAATACAGATAGGGAATACTGAAAGCTGCCTCCAGCTTCCAGGTTTCTTTCCTCACTTCCTGCTTCCAATATTTTTTGGCTTCTTCTAATTCTCTTTCTCGACTGGGGTCCTCCTGGCCCCCGCTGCTAGGAACAGAAGCACGAGGGCTGCGGGTGTTACTGTAGAAACCACCCTCCGTTTCCACGCCGGAAGCTGCAATTCCTGCAGCGGAAGAGGTGTGGCCTCGGACTCGCCATGTCCACGAACAATATGTCGGATCCGCGGAGGCCGAACAAAGTGCTGAGGTGAGGACCCCAGCGTCATGGGAACGGGGCTTGGATTGTGGGTCGGGGCCCAGAGAAGCACTTGTCCATCCCAGGGGACGGACGTCAGTGCCCCTGACCCTTGAGCCTGCCGCAGGTACAAGCCCCCACCGAGCGAGTGTAACCCGGCCTTGGACGACCCGACGCCGGACTACATGAACCTGCTGGGCATGATCTTCAGTATGTGCGGCCTCATGCTCAAGGTGGGCGGGGCTGTTTTCGTCCGCGTAGCCTCGCCTGACTACGGGCCGGGGGCCGGATTCGGCCTGAAGCGGGGCGGGCGCTGAGGGGGCGGGCGCTGGACGGAGAAAGAGCAGTGGGGGAAGCCAGGGATCCGGGTCAGGGTGGCTACGTGGGGACGTCTGTCTGAGAGTGAGGCCAGACTATAAAGGAACTTGGAAGGGACTGGTGGAGAAGGGGTGGGGTCCTTAGCATGACGGGGTATGTCAAAGGTTAGACTTCTTAGGTCTGAGGGGACATGGTGGGGTCAGAGGTGTAAGCCAGGGAGTAGGACCAAAAAATGTACCTGGAGTGGGCTATGAAGGGTTGGGACTGAGGGACTCCTGGGGAGGCAAGGTCCAGGCTGCTCCCATTGAAACCAGTGGGTTGGAACCGGTGCCTGGGAATGCCTCTTGTCTTCCGCTGACCTAACCCACCCATCCACCTACCTTTTCCCAGCTGAAGTGGTGCGCTTGGGTCGCTGTCTACTGCTCCTTCATCAGCTTCGCCAATTCCCGGAGCTCTGAGGACACTAAGCAAATGATGAGTAGCTTCATGTGAGGCTGGGCCTAGAGAAGGAGGAACTCCTGAGTAAGGGGAGGGGAGACCCAAACCCACCCATCCTGACTGACACCTCTCTCCCGTCTCAGGCTGTCCATCTCTGCTGTGGTGATGTCGTATCTGCAGAACCCTCAGCCCATGACGCCACCCTGGTGATATCATTGTAAAGGGGTCACATCCTGGTGCCCTCTCTCCACCTTCCCCCAGGCCTGGTCCTTGGCTGTTCAGCCTCCTGCCCTCAGCTGCTGTCTTGGGCTTCCCGGAGTGAGGTGGTCGCAGGGTCTGCAGCAGGGTGGAAGGAACCTGGCACTTTCTCTGGGATCCCACTTCTACTGAGGCAGAGAGGGACTACCCTAGGCCTACCCCTTGTGCCTTCCTTCCCCATCCTGCCTGCTGCTGGGGGAGATGCTCTCCATATTTCTAGGTGTAGCCACTTGTTTTCTTGTTAAAAGTTAATAATAAAGTTTTGCATTGTAGCTGTTCTCTGAGACCTCTCCTGTGCATTGTGGGTACACTCCAAGTGGGGGAAGGGCTCCTGTCCCTCCGCTTACTCAGGCCTGGGGTGGAGCCTTCTGGTTTTCACTTGTTCATTCACAAGCCTCGTGCCTTAAGTCAGCTGCTGGAGACAGGACTGGCAACTCAGCACGTGGCCCTGCTGACCTGAGGAATCGGGGCTTTGATTTTCTTATCAAAGAAATGGGCCAGTGTCAGTGAATAGATGGACTGGTAGGGACTGGGAAAGGCATGAAAGACTGAGTCCTCCCCCACTGTGGAGGAGAGACTGTTCACTGACGTGACTGCTGCTGGACCTGAGAACTTGACCTGGACTAGAAGGGGGAGATTGCTTACTGAAAATTTCCCTTAGAGACTGATGGTACTTGATGTTCATTCTGATAATAAATCAGCACCCCTCCCGTGCCTCCTGCAGTGTGCTGGTTCCTGGAACAGGTTGTTGTCCTGACCTGGTCAAGCATTTGAAATACTCTCCCATACCTGATAGCATTCACATACCAGTACTGTCCCACCCCCCTTTACCCTATATAGTTCTTTGGCACTTGCTAAGCGGTGCAGGGATCCATTTCATCTTGCTGCCGCCCAAGACACGCCTCATATGTAAGTTGCCCTTAATAAGCTCCATTAATTACCAGACTAGAGTGGCCAAACTCTTTCTTAGGTCTTTTCTTGCCCTCTGCTTATGGAGGTAGATTTTCAGTCTCAGAGTTTTTCCCTGGGTCTGCATGTACTAACACAGTAATCCTCCCAACCAGGCTGGATGCTTCCCATCCCCAGCACTCCAAGGGCAGTTCCTTTACCCAACATCCCCATTGGATAGAGCAGGACCTCTCATCAACCCTTGCTCCTAGCCAAGCTAGGTCTCAACAGGACCCTAACTAGCCCTGAAGGCAATCGGACAACCTAGGATCCCAAGCACATATTTTACTTTCTAGGCAAACAGGCACAGGTAGGAAAATTTGAGACCTATACGCCCACGGGGACGAAGGGGCACTCTAAGTCCACACGGAGGCGGCGAGACGCTGAAGTCCCCTCAGGCCAAACCAGCACCCGGAGGGCGAGACACGGCCAGTGACCCCAGGGGTACTCAGAACTAAGGCCTTAGTCCCTAGACAAGCCAAGCTGCCTGCTAGTCCCGCCCTATCAGATCCCATTGGCCAGGCCAGGTTCTGGGGGCGGGACTTTAACCCCGCCCTTGCCCGGCCGGGAACCCGCTGGAGGCGGTGGTGGTGGCGGCGGCGGCGGCGGCGGCGGCTGGGGAGCCATGGGCGCCAACGCCCGGCCTTCGGGGGTCCGCTCTGGCGGCGGCTGGGGCGCGGTGGGACCCTGGACCAGCTACGGCGCGGTGCAGCAGTCCCTCCTGTCTCTCGCCTTTCATTTTTTGTTGCTGGTGGCTCCCGGCGCTCGGGCCGCGGGATACGAGGTGAGCGCGGCCCGCGAGCGGAAATGTCCACGAGCAGGAGGGAAACCCCGAATAGGGTCTAGAGACGTAGGTGTGTCTGTTCTGTGGGTTCCTAGTGAATGGTTGCTAATATGACAGCGTGGTCTGAGTGCGAGCTTTGGTTCAGTGAGAGGTCTGGCTGTACGCGTCTGAGAACGGAGCTGCCTGTCTGTACCTGCCTCCCTGCTTCTGTGGGTCGGCTTGCTTGGACTTTGCGTGTACTTAACTGTGTGATTGGGCGTGTGTGTGTGTGTGTGTGGGGTGGGTGGGTGAGTGGGAGAGGCTGGTTGTGGGCGTGGACTCGAGTCAGCTTACCTAGAGTTCCAGCATGGCTCTTCAACTTCTGGCTACGTGAACCTGGTCCAGTCATTACACCTCTCTGATTTCAGTGTTCTCATCTGAAAACGAGATAATATTGTCGTCCCCCCCCTCCCCCCAGCAAGGTGGCTGGCTGCTTCGTATTTACAAATGCTTAATAAACATTAGCTACTACTATTATTTTCCCAGGGTGTGAATGAGAGCTGCCCTGAGTTGTGCCACTAGGGAGTTGTATCTGTGAGCTCAATTATGTGTGTGTCCTCCCTGGGAGGGCCTGGCCTGACCTCTCTGAGTTACTCAAATCTAGATCAAAACTTGTGCACTGGCCCAGCCTGCCTCTTAACCTTGGGGTAAGTGACAGTGTATGTGAGTATGCATTTGGGGTCCCTGTGCAGACATGCCCCATGGTACAGCCGGACATGCTCAACGTGCATCTGGTGGCCCACACACATGATGACGTGGGTTGGCTCAAGACGGTGGACCAGTACTTTTATGGCAGTGAGTAGAGGGTGGGGACTGACCCCTGGGACTCCCATGGCCCCTCTGAGTCTTTCAGATTCTTCCTGGGTCCTAGATATTAGGGTGGGGGCAATGTCCAGCTTGGGCTCCTGTGTCTGTGAATGTCCCCCTGGCTTGCTGATCCCTGATTGCCTGACCCCTGTGCCTACAGTCTACAATGGCATCCAGCATGCGGGCGTGCAGTACATCTTGGACTCCGTCATCTCTTCCCTGCTAGCAGAGCCCACCCGCCGCTTCATTTATGTGGAGATAGCCTTCTTCTCCCGTTGGTGGCACCAACAGACAAATGCAACACAGGAAGTCGTGCGGGACCTGGTGCGTCAGGGTGAGCTGCCCCAAGGAAGTGAAAGGAGGAAGCTCAGCCTAGCTTCTGTTTCTTCCACCCTGGCTTCTGAGATTTTATCACGCCGTGTGCAGCGTGTATGTGCATGTGACTCTGCCTGGAATTTCCCTTTATTTGGAGAATTCCTATGCATCCTACAAGGGCCCACCTCCAGTGGATCCTCTGGCAAGCCTGCTACACTGGCCTGGGAAAGACCCTCTTCTTTTCAGGGCTGGGCATGCAGGCAGGTTTTTTTCACCCCCTGAATTGCCAACCCCGGCCCCACTCCTGGCCCTGACAGCCTGCCCACACTTTGCCCATCCCGGCACAGGGCGCCTGGAGTTTGCCAATGGTGGCTGGGTGATGAACGACGAGGCGGCCACCCACTACGGAGCCATCATAGACCAGATGACACTCGGGCTACGCTTCCTGGAGGACACGTTTGGCAATGATGGGCGCCCTCGTGTGGCCTGGCACATCGACCCCTTCGGTCATTCTCGGGAGCAGGCCTCACTGTTCGCTCAGGTGCTTTACCAACATCTCTTGGACCCGTTCCTTCACTCGCTCTGACTCCTCCCTCGGCTGCTCAAGCCCCGCCCTTCCCTGCAAGCTTACAGGAACCAGGCCCTGTCCCCTGTCCCTCTGGCTTCTTGAGACCCTGCCCCGGGAGTGAACTGTGAATCCCACTCCTTTTCCTCTCTAGCGTTGGTCCTGCTCTGCCCAGCCCAGGCTAACCCCGCTCCAGTTGGATCTTTCACCTTTCCCTCCCCTGACCTGGTCCCATTTGCTAGGATCCTGGCTCCTCCCCAAGCTATGTGGCAGGTGGAGGCCTGCTCTGCTTTGCAGCCAGCTTCCTGTCTTGTACCTTGACCCCTTCCATCCTCAGTGTGCTGAAGGGGGAAGATCTTGAGTCAGTTCCCCTTTCTGAGCTCAGGAAGGTGGAAGTAGGTTCTAGCATTGGATTCACCCCCTCCCAGCTCTCTTGCTGTTAGTTCTGACCCTTCCTCAAGCTTCAAAATGTGCTAGAGGCCTCCCTGGTTTCACACCTGCTTTTTCTATGTGCTCTGACCCACCCCTCCCACACAGAAAGGGGTTGGCGGGTGGTGGTGAGAGGGTTGGGTATTTATTCATCCTGCCCTCTGATCCCCCTCCACATCCCCCTCCTCATCGCACACCACCCCCAGATGGGCTTTGACGGCTTCTTCTTTGGGCGCCTGGATTATCAAGATAAATGGGTGCGGAAGGAGAAGCTAGAGATGGAGCAGGTGTGGCGGGCCAGCACCAGCTTGAAGCCCCCTGCTGCAGACCTCTTCACCAGTAAGGGGGTGGGATGTGGTATGGGTGTGGGCAGGGCTGGCTTCAAGGGCATGTGACCTGTGCAGTCACACAGGGCCCCATGCCCAGAAGGACCCCGTGCTTGGTTTTACATTCTGCTGTCATCATCTTGACATTCTTAATAATTTATGACCAAGGGCCTAGCATTTGCCCCCATAAATTGTGAATTCCGACCTGGGTGGGGCATGGCAGGCTTTGACCCCAGGGCAGGTCCAGGGTGTTGGGCCACCCCTGAGCCTGGTGTGGCCCACAGGTGTGCTCCCCAACATGTACAACCCTCCGGAGAATCTGTGTTGGGATGTGGTGTGTGCTGACAAACCCGTGGTGGAGGACCCCCGCAGCCCTGAGTACAACGCCAAGGAACTGGTTGATTACTTCCTGCAGATAGCCACAGCCCAGGTAACCCTAGTGTCCAGAACCTGGGAGACTGGTACACATAATGCACAGGCCCCTTCCCACAGCCCATGCATTCCCTAACACCTCCTCATTTCCTCAGAGGAAGGTAATATGCCATTCACCCTCACCATATCCTCCTTCTGGATTGGCGCATTCCTGATTAGAAGCATGTGGACCCCTTCATCATGGCACACACTCACCACGGTCATGAGACAGCATGGCACAGTGCCTCAGTACCCTCATCTGTGTGGCGGGCCCAAGAAAATTACTCCATAACTTGTGGCTATTATTTGTGTCCCTATGTTCCCACGTGACACACTTCCATACACATCCCTCTTCTCATACCTCTGTGCACCCACACTCTTCACCATATATATACCAAGACACAGCTGTACACAGGGGTGGCCAGGACACCCTGGTCTGAGGACACCCCATTCTGCCTGCAGGGCCGGCACTACCGTACCAACCATACTGTGATGACCATGGGTTCGGACTTCCAATATGAAAATGCCAACATGTGGTTCAAGAACCTTGACAAGCTCATCCGGCTGGTCAATGCCCAGGTGAGTGTGCCCACCCTGTGTGCATGTGTGTGCCTGTAACCCTGGGCCTTGGGTCAGATGAGTAGCTATAGGTGCT